AGCCCGGAAGAACACCAGTTTCCTTTCCAGCCTCCAAGCGGGCCGTATTTACCCGGTCAACAGAATTAAAGACTTGCGTCTTAATTGTCTCGGCAATCAATCACATGGATTTCCAATGGTCCTTTTTTCTACAGAGGGTGAGATAAACACGGGAGACATGTGGGGAGACCAAGGGGGAGTGGGTCTCTCTTTGCTCTCTCATCTTTCTTACTCTTTCTCCCTCCCCTCCCCCTCTCTATCTCTCTCTCTCTCTCTTTTTCTCTCTCATTCTCTCTCTTTTTAATCCCCCCCCCCCTCCCATCCGACCCCTCCATCTTTCTTTCTCTCTCGTACTCTCTATCACGCTCTTTCTCTCTGTATGACAAAAGAATCAAAAGCATCCAATTTACATGAAAGAGAGAAAATTAGACAGAGTGAGAGAGAGAGAGAGGGGGGGGGTGGGGAGAGAGGAAAGAGAGAGGGAGAAATAAAGGGACACCGAGAGGTACAAACATGAGAGGAGAGAGAGGGACACAGAGGGACAGAGACAGACGGCCAGAGATACAGAAAGAGAGAGGGGGGGAGGAGAAAAAGAGATAGACAGGCAGACAGACACACAGACAGACAGAGAAACAGACAGACAGACAGATAAAGAGAGGAGAGACTGACTGGGAGACTGACAGAGACAGAGAGACAGACACAAATACAAGACATAGGCAAAGAGACAGACATAAAGAAGAGAGAAAGAGAAAGAGAGACCCACGGGACACAATAAAAGAAAAACAACCAACCCAACCCCATAATAACGGAAAGGCAGAAAACAAACATCCACAAAAATGATACACACAGATAACTACACATAAGGGACAAGGGGAAACTGGCTAAATTACCTAGTAAAACCCGGCCGGCCGTTTATGTAACATCCGCAGTGGCCCGGTAATTTGCTGTGACATTATCCGGACTTTGGCACCCCATGACAATTGTGCGTAACTGGAGAGGTAATTACCTAAGCCAGCTAGTCTGCAGACGCCGCAATTTCGCGTGTATTCGGCGTGTTTTGGCGGGTTTTGCTACACTTTTAGCGGGCAAAAAAGGCATCGCGTTCAGCAGGCTAAATAGGGCGCTGGTACATCATTCCCCATAATTGGAAAGTAGTCCTTTCGTCATGACGTCATTTCGTGTTCGACAACATCAGACTCTCAAAAGAGAAAGTCAGAGAGAGAAAGAGAGAGAGAAAGAGAGAGAGAAAGAGAGAGACAGAGAGAGAGAGAGAGAGA